TGCAAGTACAACAGATTTAGAGCGCCATTACTCCCTCCAGTTTCAAACACACATATTTTTGCCAGGTGGCTAAGATGTCTGCAAAGCTGAAAACTCTGACACCTTTGGCCTGATAAAGCACCAGGCCATTAGGAGAGAAAATTAACTTGAAACATAGGGGTTACCTTTATTATGGGACAACTAATGTAGATACTGTGTGACTGATCAAATAATTTATCATCCAAAATGGGGTATTTGTGTCTAGGATAAATATTAAACTGCTCCAGGCAAACGGTGACATACAGACTGATATTTTTAGGAAGCTCATCTGGGAGGAAATCACATAGTGTTTTTGGAGGAAGGGATGCTTTGGTCAATTGAGCTACATTCTGTTCTGTACCAATACAGTGCTCTCAACTCAAAGAGAGGAAGAAATCTGAGTTACAGCCCAATCCAGAAGAGAAACTGGAACTTCCTTAACTGGAAGAGCTGAACACAGCTGGGCTGCATGTAATCAAATGTAGGGTACCTAGTAAAGCAGTTGTAGCAAGAAAGAAAAAGCACAGCAGAGGTGGCAGCCTGGTGGTCTGTGACCTAGCCATGTTGCAGAAAAACCTGAAAAACCTGGACTGGATTGCTGATGGAAGAACCAAGCGACACTCAGAGGTCTTGGAGTGTTGAGGTTTTAATTTTACACTGGCGAGCTCAGAGAGGAGTAATCTCCCAAGGTCTGAGCCCTGAACAAAGGCAAGGGGAGCAGTATATATCTTTCTGCTTCTTTAACTGCAACATTTCTATGTGCACAGCAAGCAAGCAAGGGGAGGAGTAAGTTTAAGGAGTGAGCTTAGGGAGTGAGTGCCTGGCAGAGTGGGAATTAAGGTAGTGTTTTGATGTTTTTGCTGAGATGCAGGCGGGAGCCACTTGGACTAGACTGCTATCCTTGTAAATTTTTCCCTATCAGTTCTAGTCTATACGTGTGTTTTCTTGGGTCCCAGGATGCTTTTAGAACTGTGAGGTATCATATAAAACTCTGGATTTCTTGCTTCTCTTGAAAAATCAAGAGATCTAACGATACATATGGTCCCAAATGTTCATATGGCAATAATGTGTTGTTGCTGAGTAGCAGCTGCACCATTGAGACGGGACATGTGCTTTGCAGTTACTTATAGTCCTAGAACAGGACTGTGATGGCCAGGGAGACTGGAGATGGGGGAGCTCAGGAACTCTTGGCAGTGCCCATTTAACAACTAGTAGAAGCATGTCAATGTTTTAGATGGATCTGGCCACATCAGTACACACTAGCTGAACATGATGGTGAGGGCTGGAGGTTATTAGGCAGAATGGTAAAGTGGCTCCTCTGAAAGAAAGGTATGAACAGAAGAGTAAAGGGCAAAATATGAGTAGTTTTCAATGTAAGGTCAAGGAGGTTTCCGCAACTGAATTTCACAAGAGGAGGAGGGAGGCAATAGAAGACATTAGGTAACTGACATATTGAGTTCCAGATGCCTTGCATATGTTATCCTTTCAAAATCCCTGTATGACACAGATAAAGAAATAGAGGTAAAAAGAAGCTAAGTAACCTAGGTTACACAGCTTATTATGTGGTTCAGTAGGATTTCAACAAAGGTTTATTTTTCCCTGAAGAATGTATTTTAGGTAGGAGAAAATAACTTGTAACAATCTAATTAATCACATACTCACAGGAATCCCATGACCAAAGTGTTCAGGTCAATGAGAAGATATTTGCTAAGAGGAATCCCTGCCTGTAGTGACCACTTGGTTACAGGTACTGTTTGGATTGTGGGGAGGGAAGTACTAGTATAGTTCACCCTTGAACAACATGGGTTTGAACTTACACATGGATTTTCTTCAGTAAGTATATTGGAAAAAATTTTAGTTGACTTGTGACAATTTGAAAAACCATATTCTTTCCTCTAGCTCACTTCATTGAGAGAATACAGTATATAATATATGTAAGATACAAAACATGTGTTGACTGTTTATATTACCAGTAAGGCTTCCAGTCAATAGTAGGCTACTAGCTGATAAGTTTTGGGGGGAGTCAAAAGTTATACATGGATTTTCAGCTGTGTGTGGGTTGGTGTTCCTAACCCCTTCATTGTTCAAGGGTCAACTGTTTTTGCCTGAATGGTTATTTTTTACCTATGTTAAATGCTGTCTTTCATTGTTCTAATATACCTGAACACATTCTGTTTAGTTCAGAGTCTCTCAGAAGAGCCTAGACTTAATGATACCACTTTGAGTTCTACCAGATTAAAATCTCTGAATCATTAGAACCACACATTTATATCTCCCTTGTTGCACTTAGTAGAAGGCAGGGCAGCTGACCTATTGAGTTAGCTCTGTGCCCTCTAAATCCATTTCATCTCAAATCTAGCCTCTAAACCATCCTAGATAAGTGCCAGGATTATCAGTTCCAGATAGAAAGTATCCCTTTCCTTAGGCTTCCATCTAGATTTCTCAATTAAAAATATTTATTGAATGCTTGCTGAATTTAAAGCAGTGTATAAGTGATGAATATAAAATTCATCCTGCCTCTTCCTTCTAAGGAAATTAAATTTGGGATGTACATGTACAGAGTATGGGTGTGGGGTCAACGTGTATGCACCTAAATGTAATTTAAGGTGGAATAGAAGAAGTGCTCTAATTAGGGTTGCCAGATTCAGGATAAAAATAGGATGTGCAGTTAAATCTAAATTTCAGGTAATTTTTTTAGTATAAATATGTCTCAAATATTGCTTGGGGCCTGTATTTTTTAATTGGAAACCAGTCTAAAGAGAACTTTAATCAAAGTGCTAAGGAAGAACACTGCTCTTTAAGCTCTTTATTCAGATGCGGGGAGACCGGGGAAAGCTTCTGGGAAGTGGTGGTATTTGCTCTAGACTTTAAGGTCTGACCAGCTCTATAGTGACAAGGCATATTTCTCTTTGGAGAGTGTCGTATCATTGTACTCCCAGAATTCCTGCTGAAGCAAAATATCCATGAACTACCACTTACAATGTTGAATAATATTTTTGCTCCTTGTTATACAGCTGAAAATGATGTACTAAATTATAAAATGCTTTCAAAGTTTACAAGGTAAATCACTATGTAAGTGCATATTTCTTAAAAAGGTTTCTTTAAAAGAAGAGCAAGTAAGAATTATAAAAAGTGAATAATTATAAAATGTAATTTGTTGAGAGCTGGAATAAGCCTAGAAAGTTTTTAAAAATGTAATTTGTTACCTCTGATGTCATCCATATATCAAAACCATCATTTTCATCCAGTGTATCGAGCATAATAGGAATCAAAGATACAAAGCGAGCAATGAGGTCCTAGAATAATATTAACTAACATTTATTAAATGCATACTATATGCCCATACCTACGCACAGTGCTTTACATGCATTATCATCACATTTAGTGTATCCTAAAAGCCTATGAAATACATACTACTATTATTTTTGTTTTACAGAATGGGTGACAAGCTTAGAGTGCTAAGATAATTTCCCCAGGGTCACACAGCTAACACAATACATGGGTCATTTAGGTTTAAGCCCAAGCTGGCCTGATGCTGGAGTGTGCCTCTAAAACATTACATTTCATTATAAATCACTGCATTTCATTGTAGTAAATTTAAAAATTTAAACATGAAACATTACATATATACTTAAAATATAACTGTTAATAAATTGAAAAAAGATATATAAAAATAGAAAAGTTTGATTCGTTTTTAAGTTAAAATCTACTAGAATTATTTTTGTTAACATAAGCTTGTCATAAGTTGCTGCAGCAGGAAATACTGGTGCAGCCTGCTTTCTCAAACAACGTAAGTTATACTGTGTATTGCTCCTCCTATAGAGCTGGAGAAAAGGACTCAGACTAAAGTAGGAAATGAGAAACAGACACAAATAAATAAGCAATGAGTTAACATGGAAAGTTCACTAACATTTTCATTGACTTATAATAGCCACCATTTGTGTACTATTATGTCCTACATTGATCACGTTTCTGACTTTGCAATTAATTAAACATGATTCTCAATTCTTGATAAGCAAATAAGCTAGGGTATATATATATATTTAAAAAGACAAAGATCATCTCTGAAATAAATCTGAGAGCATTACTATCTCCTTGGACTTTGGGAGTCAGGAAACATAGGCAAGAAGAAACACATGGTGGAAGAGCAAAGGGTAGCAAAAGGCAACTTAAATTAGGACCTTTAATTTTACCTTAAAGAATCAGCTAAGGGAGCTCTATAATATAGATACATAATATAAATATCCTGAAGAGAGTTAATTGACTCAATGAAACCTGAGTAAACAAAAGGTGTAAGGGATTTTTCACAGATGCCCTTTAATCAAAGCTTTTTTTTTTTAAGGAGAGACAATTCTGATTTCATATTTTCCTTTCTCAAAGTCTTCTTCTGAGTCCATAATGAATAACTTAATTTTATATGAAATTAAATTTTGAGTATATGTCTCTTTTGTCAGCTTGGTAAATAAATATGCACAAAGTCACATAGGGATGAGTGGGAAGGATTAGGTTGACAATTTACTGAGCACAATATGGTTTCTTCTTTCCCACATACAACAGAGAAGCAGTCCTGCAAGAAACAATCCTAAGAAAGACACAGTCCCTTTAGGAACATAACTTTCTATCTTGCCTAGAAGTCAAAAAAAATTTTCTGAGTCATTTTTCAAAGTTTGGTAGAAAAGTTGTGAAGCTCATTTAGTCACATGAACTGCTGTAGCAACAGTGACTCTCTAATCCAAGTGGGCAGAAGTGAAGGGGATCAGGAAGAAATGCTTTCTTCATCTTGGGCTTAGGGGGACACCTTGCAACATAAATGGCCTCTCTCTCAGGAAACTGTCTTTGAAGGTAAAACAAGTTTAGTAAGAAAGTAATGCTCAGAATTAATACTTTAAAAGTAAGCAAGAAAAATATAAATTTGGAGTGATGAAATGTTCTAAAACTTATAGTGTTAGTTGCACAACTCTGTGAAAATACTAAGAACTATTGAATTGTACACTTTAATTGGGTAGATCATATGGTTTGTGAATTGTATCTCCAGAAAGCTACTAAATAAAATATAACTTACAAGTGTTGCATTAGAATCATGAAGAAATATATTCAGGAGTTGCTGAGGTGGGTTTAATGCCTTGATATATCTTGTTACTAAGATTTGTATCCCTTCATCATTAAAAACAGTAGTTGTGATTCTTCGTTTGGGGAACAATCCTTTACAATTTTTTTTAAAAATCTGTGCCCTCTGCAAAATGTCTGTTTCATCTGAAAACTAGAATCAAGTTTGAAATATTTCAACATTGTACTATATTATTCCCACAGGAAAATATCAATAACCAATGTTCATTTTTTGTCAGCTTTGAAATTATTACTAGTTTTTTAAATAGTTTATACTTTTTGATAGTGTATATAAAAATAATTCAATGTAAAACCTACCTTGTCTAGTTCTGAATTATAGGTGACATATGATATTTGAGGCTCAATGGTAGCAAAAATTTTTAAGAAGGTACTTTCTTTTAAGTTCTGCCCATTAAAATCTTCTTCAGGAGACATGTAAGTCTTACTCCAAGTATACCCAAGCAAAATTGGTGGAATATTTACTTGAAACGTTCCACTAATCTGAAAGAATATATCAATATAGTAGATTCTGCACTATGAAAATAAACATCAGTCAAATATAGTATAGTCCATCTCAGTCTTCTCCATAGTAGGAAGAAGCCTTACATAGGTCCCTGCTGGTTCTACTAGTAGGTACATACAGAAGGATGACCAGATTTTCATAGTGAATTGACACCATGCGTCCCTATCTACTATGTACTATGTGGAGAGGACAGGAGTAAGAAAAGGATGAAATGAGAAAGCACATTACTGTGCCAGAGTGATAAAAGTTCTTAAAAAATCTAATTCAGGCTCAGAGAAGATGTTAAAAGACCACATTACAGCAATATTATATATATTATATTTATATATATATATTATATTTCTATTTGTCTAGAAATAGAGAAAAATGTACAGCAAGAAGAACCTAGTAAGTCCATAGAGGAGGGATCTTGTGTCTATGCATGTGTGTTTGGAGGGAGGAGCTAATTTACTATAATAGAAACTACTAAAAATAGCTAATAGTTATTGACCAGTTACTATGTGCAGGGCACTGTGCCAAATGCTTAATGTAAATCATATCATTCATGAAGGAGATGCTTCTCTTATCTCCATTTTATAGATACAAAAACTGAGGTCCAGAATTTAAGAAATTTGTGCAAAATCACACAACTAATGAGTAGTAGAGACAGGATTACAATCCAGATTTGTCCATCTATGATGCTCACATTCTTAACTATCTCTCTATCCTAGAGTCTGGCCTGAGACTGAGAAACATCCACAGGAATTATTATGCAGACATTTCTACTCTCAGTCCTAATATCCATTCTCTCCTCCTTTTTTACCAGTAGTTTCAGGTGGCAACATGATAGACATGTAGTGGCTTAGTCACACAAATACAAATAAGGAGTCTGCCAGGTTTCCTGGGGAAGTGTTTGTTCTCCTTATGCAGGCACTGCCCCTTCTTGCTTCATCCTGCCTCCTCTCTGCAACATGAATATGAGACGGGAGGTGCAGTGAACAGTGTACAAGTATGAGGATTACAGCCACATGATAAGGAGAGTGGAACAGAAAGACAAAAGTACCTTGGATCCTTGATTTTCTTGAGCTGCTGTACAGGCATCTAGACTTTTTTTAGGTGAAATTTAGACCCCTTACACAAGCCACTGTTAGGTTTTCTGTGGCAATACAGCCGAATGCAGTACTAATACACAACTAATTTCTTCTGTCAAATGCCTTCGTTGTTTGACGAACTCATCTTTAGGGAATTGATTCAAAAGTGATGTCTTCTGTAAATACTTCCTTGACATTCCATTGTCTTCATTCTCTTCTTACACACACCCAGCCCCTTTGAACACCTTCCTTACTCTCCCTCCAAACCAGGAAGAGCAAGGCAGTCCCTACTGTGTATGTTCTCACAGTGTTTTCTTCTATGAACAGTGAACTCCTTGAGGTAAAAAAAACTCATTTCTGAATCTTCTGTATCTGTAGGTAAGTAATGAAGCTCAAAATGGAGACTAGGCTGGAGGTTTTGTATTTTGCTGGTCACGTAGGCATATTCTTGCTACACAGTCCAACATCAGAGCCCTCTGAGGGATCACAGAAACAGGTACTAATAATCAGTCTGACCATTATCAATAAACAATGTTGAGGAGCTTAAACTCCTGGAACCCATGGTTACAAAGCAACATTATTTTTTGTTATTAAAGTATCATTGATAAACAATCTTATAAAGGTTTCACATGAACAACATTGTTGTTTCAACATTCGCCCATATTATCAAGTCCTCACCCCCTCTATTGCAGTCACTATCTATCAGTGTAGTAAGATGCCATAGAGTCACTAATTGCCTTCTCCATGCTGTAGTGTACAAAGCAACATTATTAATCAGAACATTTGTGACTCTGGTCCTATAAAACTAATATATGCAAATGTAAGTGTTGCTTTAAGAACTAAGTCTAACTGTCCTATTCTTTATCAATGAACACTCTAAACAGAGGAAATTTGTGGGTGTCTCCAGTTCAGAGCCACGTAAAACCTTCAAACACTCCAACACCCCAGTGGCAAACAAAAACAGGGTCATTTCAACTGATCAGCAACCTGCCAATCACAGAATCTGATTCAAAGACAAGTGTTTGTATTAGCCAGAGGTAAAACCTTAGAATAATTAGTGAAGAATCATTTTCTGTTACCTCAGATTGTTGCAGAAGAGCAGAGAAAGGGAAGATAATGGATCCAAGCCAATTCTTTCTTGCATATGAATGACCTCTGCAGCTCTTGCAACAGTGATCCTATTAAAATAATTTTTCTATTACTTACTTTTTATCATCTTATGAATAATTTCACAGATAAGTAATTTCAGTATGTAAGTATAAAAAATGTATTCTTCTTTTTAAAAGAAACCAAAGGGTAAAAAGAAAGTTTATTTGCTTTTTAATTTTGTAAAAGTTATAACAACCTAAAGCAAAATAATGACACATTGTGGAGTTTATGACATATGTACGGCTTTTTACATTTCTAATGTATATATTTCCATTATAGAAGATATACTCAGTGTGACTTTGAAAATACACTAAAGAATATAAAGAATGAAAATTACCTTAACACAACCCCCAAAACATCACCATCATTAACATTTTAAGATGTTAAATGACCGTGACATATGTTGAAATGATGATGACATTCAAAGAGAAGAAACTTGACTGAGCTAAGAGATGCCCAGATAGCTGGCAAAACATTATTTCTGGGCTTGTCTGTGAGCCTATTACTGAAGATATTAACACTCAGATCAGTAGACTGAGTGAAAATGATCAGCCTTTACCAGTGTGGGTTGAAGTCATCCAATCCTCTGAGGGCCCAATAGAACAAAAAGGTGGAGGAAGGGCACATTCTCTCTTTTCGAGCTCAGTATCATGTATGTATATATATATCTTCATTCTTTTAACGCCAAGTTCAGTAGGAAGGAAACTAACATTTATTTCAGAGCTTAATACGGCACTAGATATTGTGTTAGGAACTTTCATACATCTATGAGGAAGATATTCAGTAATTTAAAAAATTGATTGAATAGAATTGGGTTTTAGTTGTAGGAATAATTTGCTCTCTTTGTAGAAATAACATATTTTCTTTCTTTTGACAATGAAAAATATATAACCGATTTTTGACATCTTTCTGTCTTGGCTACTAGGAAGCACACATTTAAACGTAAAGTTCAACCTACTTCTCCTAAATTCTTGCTATATTTATGCCACCTCACCTTGTATGATACCTGTTTATGATATGTTATTTTTGCACTGACTTGGTATATGTGTGATTTAGTTTCACATTGCCCCAAATCCTTTTAAAAAATATTGGAAATAGATATTGCATCTAAAAGCAAACTTATAAATACATTACTAGATAGAACTTCATTCAGTCTGACCTTGGAATTATTTCAACACTGGTTATTATAATTATTCTACTGTACCTCTTGTTTTTCAATAATCATTTCATCAAAAATATTGATATATATATTATCTGTTATTTTAGATAAGCTTGACAGACTATAATCATTGCCTGGTGAGCTGTAAATAAGAAAAATATATTTAGCCAATTAATTTATTTTAGAAAGCATTATTCATAAAGGATTATACAGTTACGTGTGTTTTTTTCTTTAATAAATTGTAAGCTAAGAAAAACCGACGTGCTTTGAAGACAATTGCTATCTTTCATTAAAGCTAGTATGTGCTTTGCAATAATTTCTTTTATATCTCTCTTCAGGTAATTTACATGAAAAATAAAAAATGTTTAAATATCAAGCAGAAAGGCTTTTACTACAGCCATCCACTCCAAATATATTATCGGGAGTTTCGCACATTACGATTTTCCAACAATCTTAAATTCTGCTAGTTTCTGCTAGTTCACACCTATAGTTAAACTGCCATTCTGCTCTCAGTTAAAACATATGACTGCTTAACCATGGAGCTTATTCTCTTTCCCACGTTTATAATCTCCAACCAGATATTGGGATACTGGAGTGCATTTAATTTTGCAAGCTGTCTCCTGATGGCTTACTTATAAGATAAATATTTGGAGGTAGGTGAAAGAAAAGTGCAGTGTATCACAAGCAATGAACTTCCACTCCCAGCTCCAGCTAGCATATCAAACTTCTAACTGCTCAGAGAAGTTAAATAACTTGCTTAGAATAACAGAGCCCTATTCTGACCCCAATTCTGACGGACTCTAAAGGCTCTTTTCACTGTATCAACTGCTACTAACATTATTTGTTGAAGCTTGTTGCTTAAGGAAGCAAATACTGTTTCAAAGGATCTTCAATGTTTTGTGTAACTTTCTGAGACCTACAGCCATTTACAACTGAAAAATGTTAGTTGAGTTAGAGAAAAATTTTAAGTTGAATTTTGAGTAGAACAATTCCTTATACTTCTAAGTGAAAAGCTGACTTCTCTACCCTGCTCCTTCAGGAGTTCCCTTTCATGTTACAATGTCCTAAGACAGGAAAAGGAGGCAATGTATATTTACAACACTATGCTAGTAGGAAAAATGATTAACTGTCATTCTCCAGACAGTTTTGAGTGTGTCAACTTAGTATAGCTCTTAAATCTTTCAAGTCTGGCATTATCTCGCATTTTGTATTCTAAAACTTTCCTCAGATTTCACCAAAATTTCCCCTCCAAAGTACAACTCACAAGGCTAATTACTATTTACCATTTATTTATTATTATCTATCCATTTGCATGTGGTTTTTATTCACTAAAATGTCACGTGGAGAAAAGAACAGAGCTCATGTATCTGTAGTAAAACGCTTTACCACTGAGCTATACATACCCCCTTGAGCTCATGTATCTGAAGCAACAAAAACTGGCAGCTGAATGGTTCTGCCTTAGCTGAACCCTCTTATCCACTTGGTTATAATCTAAATGTGTTGGCTTATCTCACTGCTATAACTGCAAGAATGCAAATATTCTACAGCCATCTTCTCTTTTGTTCGCTTATAAGTTTATTTATCTTATTGAATATATTATGTTTTCCTTAATTCATTTATTTTATACTTTATTCAAATAATTAAAGCATATTTCTTCCAATTCTAATGTCTGAATTAATATACCAAATATTTCCACACACCTAACTACATTTTATACTTTTACAAACCTTTAACCAAATACATTTTATACACGAATTACTCAACGTCATACATTTCTCTTTCAATCAATATTCCCCTACCCCTTCAAAGAGTAAAAAGGTCAGGTAAGCAAATATCAGAGAACAGGCAAATCAAGAAGCACAAGGTCCAAATGGACAGGCAAATAACTCAGATATCTTTTAAGAACTCTGGCCAAAGACTCTGAAAATATAATTGAACCGGTGCTGAATCTGGAAAAACAGACTTCATTTCTGCTAATAGCTGAAATATCCACAGCATCTAAATTAACAAAATTCCAAGGTATACTGGTCTATTTGGTTTTTCCTCCCAAGTTAAAATAATGGCATCAACAGTGTCTCTCTCTCTCTTCTTGCAAATCCTGGTTAGGGTCTAGAGGAGTGGTGGCTGGGATGTGAATGTGGTCATATAATACAGACAATTTCCTTCAGTGGGATAGGTATTAGAGTGTGGGGATTCTGTCCAAGCTCTTTAGTGAGGAAGGACGGGGGAAAGTACTGTTGTTTGGGGTTTCCATATTCCCACAGCTCGCATCAGGGCCCTCAAAGTTGTTAGTTTGGAAAGTGACTGAATGACTAAGAAGCTTCCTGATCAGAACCTATAGCCAGGACCTCGTTTATACAGTCTTGCAGTAAAGAGAGTGGCTGGAGGTTGAAGGGAATAAACAGATCATTTCATCCTGGGAATTTGGTTCCATTCACATAAAGCCAAGGTCAAGAACACAGATGCTGGAGAAAAAAGCAACACAATAAGCCCAGCATCCAGGAGACCAAGAGGCTGGCATTCCAGAATGAGGAGAAATTCAGAAGTTAAAATGCCAGAGTGATGCCGTCGAGGAACCATGCAAATAATCAGGAACCACAGGATCTCCAGAAACTGAGGGAGCTGAACAAGATGGGCAGCAGAAGGCAGAAAGGGCATCAGAAAAAGAGAGGGCTTTGATAATGGATGTGGTTGATAGTTTCTCATACAGTAGTCACCCCTTATCTGCAAGGGATACGTTTCAAGAGCCCTGATGGGTGCATGAAACTATGGATAGTACCAAACTCCATATATACTTTGTTTTTTCCTATACATCCATGCTTCTGATAAAGTTTAACTTATAAATTAGACATGGTAAGAAATTAACAATAGTTATAAAATAGAACAATTGTAACAATATACTATAATAAAAGTTATGTGAATGTTCTCTCAAAATACTGGTATCAGAGTCTCTATCAGTATAATCCCTAGAAACCAGTTTGACATTATCTAATAATGTTGAAGCTGAATTTAACTATAACCCAGCAATTCTACTCCTGGATATACATCCTAGGCAAGAGATTTCCAAAGTGTGCAGACTTGTTAGGAATGGAATTATGAGGCCCTATCCCAGACATACTGATTTAGAAACTATGGATATGGACCCAGCAATGGTTTAAGAAGCGATGCAGGTGATTTCAATGCACAAAAAAGTGAGAGATACTGTTTTAAAAAGAAACTCTTGTATGTGTGCTTCAGAACACAAGTACAAGAATGTTCAGAGCAACTTTATTTGCAGTAGTAAAACATTAAACCAAGCCAAATGTGCATCAACAGGAGAAGATATAAATAAATTATGGCATTTTAGTAACAGTGAAATACTATATAGAAGTGCAAAGGAAGGAAGAAAGGCAGGAGGAAGCAAGGAGGGAGGAAAGGAGGAGGGAAGGGAAAAAGGAGACACTGCAAGTACAACATGATGAATCTCTCAAAATAATTAAAAGTAAATAAACAAGACTGCAAAAGATGATTCAATTTATATAGTCAAAAAGCATCCACAAGTAAATAACATATAATTAAGAATAAATGTAAAATCATTAAACAAAAAGAGGAGACAATAACATAAATTCCTGTTTATTACCTTTGGGGGACAAGAGAGGGGATACAATTAGGTACTGGCACAGAAGGGCCTTCAAAATATTGGTAATATCCTATTTTTTAAGGTGGATGGTAGATACACAGGTATATATTTTGTTATTTTTCCTCAGAATTTATTTTTTCATATATATTATGTATACTAATATTTCCTTAAAAAATATTTCATAATTTAAAAGCTTAAAAAATAAAGCCCACCTCAATAATTATTTTCAATAAATGGCTCAAGAAAATAATTTTATTATTGCTCTTTTTTAAGAAGCTGAGGAAAAAACAGAATCCAACTTACATAAAATCTACTTTAATTTCTTCATTCCAAGATGGATGAGATCCACTTGCAATATGTGTTTGGTATACAATGTGTTGAAAGGAAACTTCCACAAAAGGGTGTACAGTATCCTGAAATACATAATAAACACTGACTAGACTTATGTAATATTTTGTATCATTGATAAAAGGTAAAAGAGGAGGAAATCATTTGATTATGGCTGACAACTGGATAGCTTACTTTTTCTAGTTTTTCAAACAACCATTATTCACATTCATTTAATAAACATTTATTGTTCCTTTCAATATTGGGTATTTTTCTAGGCTCCAAAGATAAATGGATTTTATAGTGTATCAGGGGAAAGTAAATATGTAAACAAATACTTGCAATGAAATGTCAGAAATATAATAAAATAAATATATTCAAGGTATTATAGTTACTCAGGAGTAGGAATGATTAGCCTTTGGACTAAGGACAAGGAGAGCTTCACAGAGAAAACATTGCTCGAGCTTGAGCTTTGAAACACTAAGTAGTAGTTCATGTAACTAATAATATGGAGCTGTTTGAAGGCCATTTCAGTCAAAGGGAAGGCCATATACAGAGGACTTCTAGAACTAGTAGTAGCATGAGATGATATGGAGTGGAGAGAGAAGTGACTGATTGGTAAGTAAGGGCCAGATCATTACAGATTTTTGTAGTCATTCTAAGTTTTTGTATCTTAGTCTTTTGTACCTTAGTCTACAGACCCTGAGAGCAGGGGATCAGGGAATGAAATGCTTAGAATTTTATTAAGAGCACCTTTACTGTGTTATAGAAAATAAACTGGAAGCCCAAGAGATTAGAGATGGAGGGACCAATTAGGAGCCAGTTAAAATTCAGGGAAAATATAACCAAAATTGTATTTTATAGAAATGTTAAATACTTATCTCATTTAAGATCTCATCTGAGGCTACTGATTTTATTGTTTCTTTATGTCCAAGGTGAGATACGGATGATACCAAATACGTAGGCATACCCAAGGCTCTTCAGGAAAAATAATATAGAGATACACAATTTAGTTAATTTTAGTATTGGTTTTAGTTGGAGTGGGCAGCACTTCACCTATGTTTATAGAGATATATAATTCAGTTACCCTGGATCTTACAGCTTTTGTTTCAGATCTTTATACCATAGGTGTTTACAGCTAAACATTTGATAACCACTACTCTGGAAGAGTGGGTCTTAAATGCTGCACTATTGATTGGATCCAGACCATGATAAAGTTTTCACTGTTTTCCAGCAAAAGGCAAAAAGTAAGGCAAAAGATACTATGAGATTGTATCCTTCCTATTTTACAAATGATCATTATAGAAAACAAAACAGCCTTTGAAGTGAGCATTTGTTTGGGGAATATCAATTCTATTAGATAAATAAGGTTGTGGTTTACAAAACATAGGAAAAACCTTAGTCTTTAACTATAGATTAGTAGCTAGCCAGAAAAACATTTGCTTTTCAAATGTAGAATTCATGGTCTGTGGTAAACCTAAGATAAGGAAACAGAGCATACACATGTTAAACATAGACAGGGATAGTTAATATTCCTGCGGTACCTAGATACTAAGTATCCATAATATATAAATCATACATGAGACAAAGTAGGTAAGAGACACTTGCTATTCAGGATACACTTAATACACATGAGCATTTAATATTTATGATGCCTTAATTTGGCCACCCAATGGTGGTATCCATTCTGGCCCTACATAATCTCTGCCCAGAAACACAAATAAAACCCCACTGACTGACTACAGAAGAGACGGGGAAGACCTGATTTTTGCAGAAGTCACCTAAAATGACAAGTCCAGCAGAGCTCACTCTTGCAGTGTTCTACTTCCAATCCTGAGGAGCCAGTGTCAGAGAACAGTACAGTTGGCTACAGCAGCTTCAGAAGTTTTCACAATAAGGAATAGGAATAAAAGGCATTTATTTGACACAGCACCTAAAAATATACATGTTAAAGGTATTGGGGCATCTCAGACTTCTGAAAACTCTTAATACATGGCAGTGACAGTAAGTTTGACTATCCAAATGAAGGTTTCAACTTCTGTTCAGTTTCTGTATATGGAGCACTAATAAAGTGAGAAGTTTTACTAATACAACTGCATGGGAATTTACATTTCAGATAGATGTTTTGCAAGTCTAAAAATTGGTACACACTGCCTTACCTATTAACTGTTGTGCTCCTGGTAGGAATATTGTGAGCCCTCAGTATTCTGACAACGACCTTCACATCTCCACCACAGAGAGTTTGTGCTGCCGCTTTTTTCCTTTCTTTCCTTTGAGGCTTTAACTTTCTTCGTCGCTCAAGAAGCTTACAAACTGCACGCATCAACTGGCTAAGGAGAAAAAAGTGATCAGCTGCATATACACAGATAACTTAGTTTTAAAAGATACCAATTTTAAAAATTAATTATTGTATATACAAGGCCATTACTCTGAACCATATTCTCTCCACTGTGAGGGGGAGACAGAGTGGTCTCAAACCCAAGGAAGGAATCTTTTTCTGAGCTATGTTCATTCTCAGGTTAAGAGAGAATGTGATTGCTATGTGCTCTTTGGGCACATGGCCTTAGAAGAGACAAGGGCATGGAGAGGTAATTCTGAGAAACATGATGTTCTTTCAGATAATTATTAATTTTTCAGGATCATTCTCTTGAAAGTGGTTAGACTCTCAACCTTTCTACATGGCTCTGAAAAAGGAGTTAGTTACATGTGCTGCCAACCCTGGCGACACTAATCTATGGCATTAGAACATGTTGGTCATACCCATTG